GATGGCTTGGCACGGAATGTGTTAATAATACTTATTAATAAGTATAAATTAATAATACTTATAATACTTATAATACTTATTAATAAGTATAAATTATAATACTTAACACATTCCGTGCCATATGTACCACCGGTGGTACACGCAGTCATATTTATTTAATTTATTTATTTTTTGCAATCGAACCACCACGTGTACCACAGGTGGTACACGATGTGATAGCTACTCTAAACAAGAGAACTACTTATTATCGATTGCTGATGATTTAACGATGTGATAGCTACTCTAAACAAGAGAACTACTTATCGATTGATGATGTAATCAACGTAACGTTTAGTCAAAATATCAAATGGCCTGAACAAATGGACAACAAAAGGCAAAGATGGCTTGGAACGTGTTAACTGTAACAGGTAAATAATCTATCTATACGTTGGAAAGTTTCGAAAAACTGTTGGTCAAGCAATGGGAACCTTTTTGGAGACGCTGTGCTCGCCTTTGGTGCTGTATCCTTTCTGGTGTTTGCCCTCCTCGTCGAATTCCGCGGCCTTTTCACCTGCCTCGCCGTGGCGGCTCTCGTCGTAGTGGCCCGCCTGCTTGTACTTCTTCTCCTCTTTGCCCTTCTTCTCGTCGTACTTCTGCTTGTGGCCCTCGTTGTCGCGGTGGCCCTTCTCGCCCTTGTCGAACTCGTGGAAGACCTTGTAACCCTGTGTCCGCAGGCACGCGTGATCGATAAAGTTAAAGAAGTGGCTGCCTTAAAGCAGAGGCTCGCGGATATACGATATATAATCCTCGTAACGAAACTAGTACGCCGATACTAATTAAACGAACGAAACGCGTGAAGCAATATGTCGAGGGGACAAAAGGTGTCCCTCGGAACAAAAGGTCTCGTCGTTACGGGGAATACGTTCGTCCCTTCTTCCGCCCCGATGAAGGAAGAAATGGCTCTCGTTGCGCAAAGATGTCGTATACGCGCAACAACGACCGTATAATAAATAATCCTTTGAGAATACTGGCCGGACAGTGATATTACCGGCGATAAAAAGGGAAGAGAGCCTTGCTCGTGGATGACGAAATGTGGCTGCAGCAGCAGATTCCTGCATGCTTCCAGCGAAATTAGTTGCGATATTGTATTTCGAGTTAACGTCGAACAATTCCGGGACGATGAGTTGGCCGCGGCATATTAACTTGCAAAATCTTTCTTTACTTCATAACCATGCAATAATGTATATTATTGTGTATTATATTTTTATTTTATTATTGTGTTATTATATCGTAATTTTTTAAATGTATGATATATATTATAAAAAAAAATATATATATATATATATATAGATTTACAGATTTTTATAATATATGATATATAATGATAATGTTCGAAAACACAAAAATAAATTTTTCCTTTTCTTTTCTTTTCTTTTTTATACGTATTTTCTTTGTAAGCTAACATCAAAGCAACTGGAAATTAAAATAAAAAAATGTTTATTCTTTATTCTCGAAATTGGGGACCCATTAAAATTTTAAAATGTAAATCTGTAAACATATCAACGAATCTATATAATATAATATATATCATACATTTAAAAAATATATTGTAAAATTTATCGTATCTTGAGCAGAAGCTAATCCGAGATATTATCGTATTACGTTCATACTTCATTTTATTTATTTATTCGCTGTTCGTGTTTTTATTTATTTTTCGATCGAAACTATCGGACAATTTCGTACGAGGAATTTGTTTGTGAACACAATGTTTAGTTATACCTTGTCGCTCTTCTTTCCGTCGATGTTACGGTGATCTTCCTGGTACTCGTTGCCGCCACCCCTCACCTCGTGCTTTTCGCCACCTGTTTCAATTAATTGCCGGGTAAAGCTTCCCTCTCTCTCTCTCTCTCTCTCTCTCTCTCTCTCTCTCT